TTTTCTTAGATAAGCTTCAAGTGTTTGAGTATCATTTATTTTGAAAACATAAGGTGCAATTTTTTCACCTTGTTCTTTCTTCAAAATACTTCTGATAGTACTATAATTCTTGGGTTCCATGGTAGACCTAATGTAAATGAGTTTCATATCAACTATTTTTATACAGGGGTCAGTTCTATATCAACCAAAATATAAAATGGGTCATTATAAAACTGTTAATTATAATTGCATTAAAGATGACTAAACTTTGGTCCCTGAAATTCTTGGTAATACCAATGTTCACTTTGTCTGGTTTTGTTGCAGCATGCCCCATATACCTTGTCTAATTAATCTTTCACTGTAAGAATAGTTCCATTTGTAAAATCACAAAAAGATTCTGTGACAAATTTTATTTATTATAATGCCTAAAGTGAATTTTATTCTATGATTAAATATATTTTATGTTGTGGAATTTAATATATATCAATATTAATTAAGCATGCATACATATTGAGATTAAAGTATCATTTAGATTGTAACCAACAGAAAATTTAAAGTGCCTGTTATAATTATTAGATATTTTTGGTTTATAAAAGATGTGACACTAATTAAAATAATAATAACAGTTATTATTATAATTATTATTATATTGGTAAAAAAATAATTGAAATGTTTTTTTATTCAGAAATCAAACTTTGTTATATTGCAATTTTAATAAAACTTCTTGCCATCCCATTTCTGGGTTTGAAAGATCTATGATAGCACCACCAGCACATCTAGAAAAATATATGCATATTGTTTATTATAAAAAATACATTTTGAAAAAAGTTTTTTTAACACACCTTTTTCATCACAAATAATAACTGTTCTAATGACAACACTGAAATGGGCACCACACCTATGGTTATTAGGAGTATTTGGATCATTAACCTAAACAACCAGAATAAACACCTCTTGAGATATAATTTTTTAACTTTTCAAGTAATTGTACATTATGTAATTTAGGAGCACCAGTCATTGATCCCTACAAACATTTTATAAAAAATCATTAATAATAATCCAGAGTGGAAGAATAAAAACAATGAAATTATCATTTGTTATTTTACCAGAAGGAAAGCAATTTTTGATGACATTAACATAATCTATATTTCTATTTAAATTTCCTTTAACAGTTGTCACAAATTGATGAACATTTTATATGATTCTACTACCTTCATCAAATATGGTACTTTGAATGTGTTAGGAATACATATCTGTGAAGGTCATTACGTATCAAATCCACAATCTAAAAATCAAAAACATCTTATCATTATTATTTATTATACAATTTATGTATGTAATCACTTTCACAATTTACTAACCATTAAATTTTCAGCTCTTTCTTTAATATTTTCTTCTAGCATATAAATTCGTATTAAATCCTACTCTTTTCTTTTAATTTTACAACATTCTTCATGATCACGTTTGTTATCATAGTCTTGATCCTTTGTTTCATTAGTCTTTTTCTTCTTGCAAAAACATTTGCAACTGTACCTTTTATTGACTTCATCTCTATAAAACTCCCTTATCATCTATTCTAAGAACTTTTCAGGTGACAAACTTAATATTGATAAATTTAGGTTATTAAAATAAATAAGATCTGAATAAGGCACAAGATTATTTGAACTAATGTAGTAATTTAACCCTAGAATATCATCAATCTTTTTTTGGTTTATTTGGCAATTTGGTACAAATTGCGTTGTAAGGCATAATTTGTAACTTTGACCTTTGTAAATCAATGGTTTTGCTCTTTCAATAGACTTTAAATATTGATCCAAATTCATATCAGGAATGAAATTTGTAAATCGATAGACATGTTACCTTATTGTCTTTATGATTATTATAAACATTACTAAAACAAATACTACTATTGTTGTTATGATGGCAGTAGTGGTTCTTATTGATTGGAATTTTTTCTTGGTGTTTTTTTTAGAGCGATTATATTATTTAAATTTTCTTCAGTTGATTTTGCTAATGATAAGCTGTCAGTAAGAGGAAAATTCCCGATCCTTCTTCCAACTCAATATAATCTATCAATGAATTACCACCATCATCATTTTTAATTAATCCAATTGACCATAATCTTTTTTTTTTTTAAGTGATCGAATACTACTGTGTATGTTGAAAATATAAATGCTGAATCAGGATATTTATTGTTTGGATCAACACCATTGGGAACAACCTTTACATAGATTCATGTTTCATTTCATAGCCAAATAACCCACTATTCTTAAACGGAAATCAAATGGTATTATTTGATGTTCTTTTCTTTTAAATTTAAGTATCATAAAGTGATCCATTATTTTTGTGATGCCAATATTTTGATTAATTGGCCTTGCTGCATTTGCAATCCGATCCCAATATGTTTAATTTCTTCTATTTTTTTTGAAATAAATTTTCCATTTGTGCAATGTATTTTCAAATCTTTTTCTAAAGTGAAATATGACACAACATATTTGAAAAATTTGGTGTTGAACCCATAAATGAAAATCCATTTTATGAATCTTGTTGCTATATATTAAATCAAAAACAATTTTTTTATATTAAAAATGCTAAAAAAAGAAATTATTAATTAATGTATGTGTATATATACATATCATAGAATTATTTAACCATCATTTTCCTACAAACGAATTGTGTTTTCTTAAACACCAGATATGAATCTAACCATTTATTCTCGTGACATTATAAGATAATATTTTGGTTTATTATTATTAATCCTTGTTATTTGGATTGAAAATAAAAAATTACTGAAAGTGTTGAAATATTATGAAGTTTTGGTCTTGAAAATGTTAATCCTTGCTAATAATTATTAAATGTGCTAATATTATTTATTAACATTATAATTTTAGTTGAAATTGAAATTCACCAAACCTTTTATTTTGTTAAAATTCTTTATTTATATTTATAACCATATTTTGTGCAAATAGATCCGATTATTTATTATTATCACGTGTAAAAATTTTTATTTATATATCGTGACAATAAATTTTCATGCATCATATCTTAATCATCATTGTTTTATTTGCAATTGCTCCTTTACTTATTTTGTGTGATGGATATGAAGTGTTAAACGTAAATTCTAAAAAACAATTAAAGTTGCTAAACCAAAAATACCTGCTGCAAATTGTTTGGGCTGCTAACTACCATTTTCCGCTGCTGCATAAATAATTACCATCACAATGTTATCGCCGCAAATGGTCACTACAGCGCAATTAATTAATTATGGCAGGTATCTTTATTATTGTGTTTCATTGGATTATCCGTTTAATCCGTCCAATCCGTTCGATTATACGGATTATACTAATACGGATCATCTTAATCCGATGAAATCCCAACGGATGCATTTTTTGAGTAATGGCCGGATGACAGATTGATTTTTAGAAGATGAACGGATGACGGATACTCATCATTAGGCCGGAAAGTCCACAGTTTCGTATGCAGATCCCAACGAATTCTGCTATAATTTTTTAAAGAACCACCTTTTATATTATATCTACTAATAACTTCATTGAGAAGAGATAACACAATATTATTTTTTGAAATATTTAACAAGTGAATTACAATTTGATTTGCAAATTTACGCTTTATGATATCTTTGGATGTTAAATGGATACAATGAGCAATGCATCTAATATCCAATATATTATTAGGAAATTTTTTTGATATTATTTTTCGTGCCTCTAATTTAGTTTTGGATTCTAGAATATTTTTAAGAATAAGTCAATCTCGCGTGATATTTGCATTAAGTGAAAGGCATGATTACTATTTTTAATAATATATGGTTTAAAAAACCATTTTCGTGAATATTTAAGAAGAACATTTTTAACAATTCATTTATATTTATATGATTAGTTGTAACAAAATGATGATATAAAAGTAAACAGTTTATTTGTCTCAGGATCAAGAGATTTAAAATGGAAAATTAATTGAAAACAAGCAGCTTTTCAATACATATTACTACTACTACAGCACATGGGATACACTATAAACAGTATAACAATACTGCATCATTAAAATTGAAAGAAAGAAGTTTGTAGTAAATATAAATATTGGTCAAAACTGTTTTTTTATGAAAATAAAATATACATGTCACAGCCAAACATTTGCATTTGTACCTTAGAGCATACAAGTTACAATCAAATTAAGTCCAGGGGGATATGTACAGTAGCCTTTAACTGTTTGGCTATTGTGCGAGTTGATTATAATGTTAATTTTTGAATTTATGAACTGGAAATTAAAAATTTTTATCTGAACTCTGGCTTTGCTTTTATCATCAATCAAATAAATTGGAAATAAATTCGGTAATTTCCACTTCACTCAAAAAAATATTGAAACCTTCACCATGATTAATATCTATTACTTTCAACAAAACAACTAACATAATCATATTCCTTTAAATATTTATTTATTAAAGTCATGGTGATGATGATGATGATAATGATCTTGGTTTATTATCTTATGCTCTATTGTTTTCGGTGAGAGCTCTCACTTAACCAACACAGTCATTTGGTCAATGTCTTTATAAGGCGCAATAATTCTTTCAAAATGGATTAAACCAATTTCACATGCCTTCAAATCCACTCACAATGCCATCATCTATTATTCTTTTGTTAGCGTAAATGCAGACACCATAGATAATTATTGATAAAAACTCATATTTTCTGTGTTTTGAAATGCGTTTATTTAAAAATCCTGCTGGCGACATGTAATGTTTTTGGGAATTTATTTTTCTTCAATGATTTATTATAAGTAATAATATCTTAGCATCCTCGCTATTTTTAAAATCCTAGTTTGTATATGCTCTTTCGATGGCACTGTTTATATGAAGCTGAAGAAGTTACTTTTATTCGTAAATGCGCGATTTTATTAGGTAAAAGATTTGCATGTCATAATCGCGAGATACAAACAACACTTGATTTTGCGGCGCAATCTCCGCCGATCAACGATAGAAATTCTGATTTTTATAATTAAAAAAAAAAATGTCACCTCCAAGTTCTAAAAATTCAGGTAAAAATATCGAAACAGAAATAGTTTTACAAGCGGTTGTTTTGGCTGATAGCTTTAATGAACGATTTCATCCTATAACTTTTGACACACCACGAGTAAGTATATTTTTATTATTTTCTCTCTTTTTTTAAAATAACATTTTAATATATATATGGAAAATTATATAGTGCTTAATGCCTTTATGCAACACACCTTTAATCGAGTATACACTTGAATTCCTTGCTGTTGCTGGTGTTCAAGAAGCTTACCTTTTTTGTAGAGAACATGCTGAGAAAATAAGGAATTATATCGAGTATGGTTCAAATTTATTTTTATATATAATAGTTAAAATCACACATTCAAATTATTACTTTTATACATATATGAAGAGCCTCGAAATGGAATCGATCTTATTCTCCAATTAAGATCTTTACAATTTTTACACCTGAAGCTCGTTCACTTGGTGATGTTTTACGTGAAGTTGATGCTAAACAATTAATTAGTTCAGATTTTATTCTTATTAGTGGTGATGTTGTGTCTAATGTTCATTTGGAAAAGGTTTTAGATAACCACAGGTAAATAATCGATTTAATTAATTAATTATCAGGGTGTGGAATTTTGTTTAATTTATTAATTAATTATTGGATTATTCAATAATAGAGATAGAAAAAAAGAAGATAAGAATGCAATAATGACAATGGTATATTATTATTATCATAATAAAAATATTTAAAAAACATATGTGTGTGTCACCTCAATTGTTTTGGAGAAAAAAAAATTACAAGTCAATTTTTTACAATTTTAATTTTCTTTTGATCAAAGGTGTTAAAAGAGGCCAGTCCTTTCCATCGAACCAGGTGAAATATCTTTAATCTAATATATATATATATATATTTATATATGTTAAATTTTAAATTTTATTTTATTAATGAATCCAAACATTCTAAACTACATTACAATTATTTTCTTATTATTAGAGCTGTAGGTGAATCTTCAATTTTTGCTGTTGATGCACAAACAAAAGAATGTTTGCATTATGAATCAGTTGAAGTGTATCCACGCAAACAACACATGGTTATGGACATGAGTATATTTGAAAAGCATTCAGATGTTGAAATTAGGAATGATTTGATTGATTGTCAGATTGATATTTGTTCAGTTGAAGTGCCAGCATTATTTACAGAGAACTTTGACTATGAAGATATCCGAAAAGATTTTGTTTATGGTATTCTAACATCTGACATATTATCCAAGACGATCTACTGTCATATTGTTGAGGGTACTTATGCTGCTAGAGTTCGAGGCCTGCAAACATATGATACCATCAGGTATTATCTCTGTTACCATTACTATTTATTTTTTAATTTATTAATTAATTAATTTTTCTATATCAGTAAAGATATTTTATCTCGATGGACATATCCTATTGTACCAGATAGTAACCTTCAAGAAGGTGATAGTTATGAATATTTACGTGGTCAAATCTACAAGGAGAAGGATGTGTCATTGTCAAGATCATGTTTCCTTGGTGAAAAAGTATTAATAGGTGCAGGAACCAAAATTGCTGAAAATACAGAAATAACTAATTCTGTTATTGGTAGAAGGGTTAGCATTGGTATTTATTATAAAAAAATAATTTGATTTTTTGTTTGGAAATTAATAAATATACATAAAAGGAAAATACATACTCAAAATAATTTATTATTGAATCATGTAGGCCCCAATGTTAATATTGATGGAGCTTATATATGGGATGATGTGATCATCAAGTCTAATTGTTCAATCACTTGTTCTATTTTGACAAATAATGTTATTCTACAAGAAAATGTAACGGTGAATAAAGGATGCATACTTTCTCATGGTGTAAGGTTTACATTTCTCTATATCATAAATAAATATATGTGTTATTTTATTTATTCATATTTTGTTATTAATATTGATACTTGAAATTAGGTTGTGATTGGACCTAATATTACTTTACCAGCTTACACAAAAATATCAAGACATAGTAAGAAAGCTGTAGAAGATTTTGATGATGACAATGATGACAATGATAATTGTGAAAAGAATATAGATAAAAATGTTGATATTGGTAATTATTCAACATATATATTTCATATGTAGTATATATTACATAGCGTATCTATATATTAGGGTTTTCCTAAAAATATTTCATTTAATAGATTATGATTATTCTGTTATTGGCGAAAATGGGAAAGGATATGTTTGGATTGAAAAATTTTATGGTGAAGAAGATGATGAAGATTCTTTAAATACTTTTAGAAATGCTCAAGTTTCATCTTTGGGTATATGTATTTCTTTTTTATATTAAATAAAAATTTATTAGATTGTTACTTATATAAATTTATCATAATGATTATTCTTATCATAATTAATATACATTCTCTCCAAAAAAATATAAGCATATGATATATCTAATATATATCATATAGATAGTGAATCATCAATATCTGTTATTAGTGATGGATCATCAGATGAAGAAAGTGATGTGGATGACCACCAACAATCCAACAAAGAAAATTTTTCAAATGAAGCATTGCAAACTTTAGAGCGTGCTTTCTCTGAAAATCATAAAGTAGAAGATACATTATTGGAATTGAATACATTAAGAATGGCATACAATATTTCTATTTATGATCTACGTAGAGTGGCAATCCCCACTATACTAAGTCAAATCAATACAGAGAAATTATGGCAAAGCACAAAAAATGTAATTTAATTTTTATTTTATTGGGAACAGATGAGTTTATTGTTAAATAATTTTTTATTGATTTTTTCTATATATAATCAGGTTTTGCTTGGCTGGGGGCCTTTAATTGATAAATTGATTCAATCAAAGAATGATCAACTTGATTCATTATACATAACACAAGTAATTTACAAAAAATTTTGTTCCAGTTATTATTTATAAATGTTTTATATTAAAATAATAATAATAATAAATAATTGATTCAGGAATACTGTTTAAAAGATGAAAGTTATATCAAAATCTTTGCTTTATCTCTTCGTATTTTTTATGAAGATGATGTGATTGAAGAAGATGCTATTTTGGAATGGTATTATTCTGATAAAGCTAAACAAGCACCGTCTGGGAAACAGGACGATCTTAATAAATTACGCGAATTGGTTTGTAAAAATTTGTGTTTTATATGGGAGGAAAGTTTGAAATTAATAATAATGATTGTATTTTTTGGTATTTAGGTTACACCGATGATAAAAAGACTTGAAGAGGAGGATGATGATGATGATGATGATGATGATGAATAATGAATGAAGGATATCGTATTTCTAATGTTAAAAATAATATTATTGTTATTTTATTGCTTATAATGTACATTTTTGTATTTTTTTTTTTTAATTAAAAAAAAAATAATATGAAAATATCTTTTTTGGAGGGATGGATATTATCCTGTATATGTATTAATATGTTTGAATTCCTAGCTATAATAATAATAATATATTTATATATTTATATTATAATAATTGATAATGGTAAAAAAATTTATTCTATAGTTGACTTTTTCCTGATGATAAATCGTAAATCATAAATCGTAAATTGTAAATAATAAAATAATAAACAATAAACAATAATAACAAATAGAAATACGTGTTCTATTGTTGTTGATTGTATTTATTACTTTCACCGAGGGAACAATCAGTGGAACTGCACTATATACAACAATGTTTTTAGAGAGGTTAACTTCAAAGGATATTATGACAAGGTGAACAACGTGTTAAAATTTTCCAAGCACTCGATTGTTGTTCTGATTGGGAGATAAGTTATGGAAGAAAGAGTCGAATATGTATGCATAGTTTCCCTATATTTTGAATTGAAAATTTTGAAAATTTTGGTTAACTTTTCTTAGTTAGTTATACATATATGTAGGTGACTAAACCAAACGATCATGGTTGATAAAAATGGTGAAGGTGAGGAAGACTTTCCCTACCAAGATCCATTAATGATTTTCACAAAAGTCCCCAAACAAAGACTTTTTTGTTGAGAATGAGGCAGGTGGGGAATTTTGTTCTGAACAGAAAGCTATACAACACACTGTCAAAGGATAAAAGCATCAATTCTGACATTTAAAAACTAAAAATGAATAACCAAGTCTTTTATGTGACATATATGGATGAGAGCAGGAGATATAAGTTGATTAAAAACAATCTAGGCAGGTCAATAATTTTGGTTCTTGGAAAGTTGAAATCAGCAAGACGAACAAGCAACACTTAGCAGCGAAGGAAATAGAATGGAACTCGATCCCAATACGAACAAGGACAGCAATAAAATCACAATGATGAAGAGAAAGAATTGGAATTGATTGAAAAAAGTATCAAAAAGGTGAATAAGAAAAGGAAAAGCATGTCACTTCTTCAACCTCTCCGACCTCTTTGACTTGTTTGACGACCACTTCCGTTCCCACAAGCTTTTCTTCTGCTGGTTCGACCGCCACAGATACTCCTAATGCTAAGGTAAGGAACGAGCTTATGATGACATGAGCAAAGATGCTCAAAAAATTCAAGATGAATGACTGACAATCAAAATATATTTATTTATTTATTTATTTATTTTATGTTTGTCATTATATTTTGTTATATATGTATTTTTTTAATTAATGAAACAAATTATAATAATAATGAAATGTTAACTTGACTTAAAAGATAAAATGTAAAATTGCTTACCACTACCTGCAAATTAAAAACGTCATATTAGTGTAGATTCATTCCACACTTGATATTATTAATTGTTGTCCTAAGAACAATATAAGCAAATCATCAGTTGTTTGTGCAAGTGAAAAAACTATTCAGGAAAATGGATTCCTTTTTTTTTTTTTGAATTTAAAAATCCCTCCCTACCTTAAACTTTAAAAATTAAAATTTTTAAATTACACCCAAAAGATGTTGAAGATTTTAATACCTCTAAAAAATTTAAAACAGATTATTCTTTTTTGGATTCATACATACATCGTAATGAAATCAATTAGAACCTTTCAAATGCTCCAAGTCATGATGTTGATAATGTCAGCAATAACAACGATTTCGCCAATGATAGGGGTTTTGGAAGAGTATAATTTATTTGAGCAACAAGATCAACATAGAGCCAATGATAATAATTTAGCACTTCCAATGCTCAAAGAAAAATGCTTATTTTTATATATATATATATATATATATATATATATAAAGAAATGTCAAAAAGGCTTATAATCAGTTTGGAAAGTGGATCGACAAGTTTAAGTTTATTTTTTCATGTAACAAGTATCAAAGACCCTGTTTAATTTTTAATCATTCTTTGAAACGTGTTGGTTGACATTGTTGTATCTCTAATTTTCAAACAAGATTCATCAAATACTGCAAGACTATTTTAAGCCTGTGTTTGAACCATGAGATCGCAGGATTAGTGATGGCAATGACGAAAGTAATAGCTACTATGTCTATCAATCTCTATTCTTTTGCGCAGAATCATCAAACGAAATTTCTCAACTTTAAAAAAATTCAATTCGACATCTTAATTTTCATATTCATCCACAAAAAGCATTTACAAGATATAATTAATTAATTATATTTTACCCAACTAAAAAAAGTGCTGATCAAACTTTCACGATGATTAGGCTAACGCATTGAGGAGTTGATACACAATGCTATATGGTATCTTTATGTAATTGATCATTGTCTTGGTCAGGTTGTTGCCAAAATGTTTAATCAATAAAACAGAAATCGTATTCACAAAATCCACAATATCTATCATATTGAACTGTGACAGAAACAGGCCCCGATTTCCTTTAAATAACTATTTTTTATGATTTTTTTTTTTTTAAACCAAGAATGAATTTTCGAAATAGTTTTCAGGAGAGGATCCTAAACTCCTAATTAGAATCTAAAGATGATTTGCAAAATTGATTATGTTTTTAAAATAGTTGTATAAATAGTTTGGGTTTAGTTTTGGGTGGTTCCAGAGAAACATAAACCCAATTCCGTTATTAGCGTTCTGCAGTACATGTTTTTTTATCTCCAATGCAGGAAAAAAAAAGAGTATCTGAAAAGGAAAAACGAAGCTTTCTTGTGTTGTGTTATGAAAATCACAATCATATGTCTGTCATCATCCGCAATTAAACTATTCTTATCTTCTTTAAACTAGAAATTACCATTCATATGGCAATGATTGCTAATATTTTGTTTGTGGGGAAAATATTTTAATATTAAGGTAGATGATCTACCAATATAAAAAAAACGTAATTGCCACGGCAAATATCTAAAAATTCTTCACAATTTGCCACACATTCGTCCTTAAAAGTATTCTTCCAACACAATCCATTCCAATAATTCACCACAATAACAACAAATATGTTATTAGAAGGTTTTCGATTGCAAATATTTGTAAATGGTGAGCCATTGAAAGAGTATAGTGAAAAATATGTAGAAAACAAGACAGTGAGTATAATTAATTGATACATTTGAATGTACGTAATATGTATGTGTATTTAATTTATATATTATTTATTAAATAAAGATAACTAGTGCAGGTCCTTCATATATTTACGATGAAGTAACAAAAAAAACTCATACAACGTATGTTCATTCGTATTAATTAATTAGTCCCTACCTTTTAATTTTAAATGTTTTCTACTTACTCTATACTAATTCTTTAATGTTTAAAAAAGTGACAGAATAGTATATGCGTTGGTGAACAAATCAGATGAGAATAAAAGATTTAGCATAAGGTTCACATATGCAAAAGCCAAATATTCAGCGCCAATAAAAGCCTATTTATTTGTTGATGGAGTTTGGGACTATACTTATTATCAAATTTATGATGATTGTTATTATGTTGAGGATGGATTTTGGAATAAGGAAAGAGACAAGAAGTTTTATTTTAAATTCGTTACTGCTACTCCTACTACATTGTCACCAAAAAAGGATGCTATTATTGGTAAGAGAGGAGCAATGAATGGAGTTATTAAATACAATGATGAAAGAATAGATGAGGATGATATGGATTATTCTTACAATATCCATAATAATATTAATGATAATGGTGATAACGATCAGAATGAGAAAAGGAAAAATTGCATTGGAGGTGGATGTGGAACAATATCTGTGCATTTTTATAAAGCAGAATGGCATCAATATGACACTGTCAAAGTACCAGATTTCAATATAATACAACAACAACAAGATCAAAAAGATAATGATAATGAGAAGTTGAATGATATATTTGAAGATATGGCAATAAGTGCAAGTTTTAAGGAATCAAAGCTTAATAAAAAATTTATGACAAAGGGTTTTTGCAGTTTGAAAAGATCAGGTGATCAACCAATTGCTGTCTTGAACCTTGAATATCGAGATATTAATTATCTTAATAATATACAAGGATTGATAATACCTCATAACAATAATAATAGTGATGATGATGATAATAACAATAGTAATGATAACGATAATAATATTAATAATTATTATAATAATATTAGAGTTGGATTAAAAAGAAATTTATCATCTTTTATTGAAGATATTCAAGATGAATATAATGATAATGATGACGATGATGATAATAACCAACATTGTGATAGTGGCAACAATGGTAAAAATGGTAGCAATATTAATAATTATAAACTTAGAGCTAAAAATAAAAATAAAAGTAAACTACCAGATAAAAATAAAACTAGTAAAAATTTTGATCCAAAAGATATTAATCGTTTATTCAAAGAATTAAAATAATAATAGTTGGTTAGGTGGTTGGTGGTTTGCAGGATGATAATTAGACAGTAATCATGAATAGTAATTGATCATTGTAAATTTAATAATATTTATTTTTTGCAATAAAAAATCTTGTATATGAGTTGTGACTATTACTATTAGGAGTCTGACTGTTGTTATCATTATTATATATATAAAAATAATAAATTTTTTTACTTTTTTTTCTCGCATGTTTTTTCCAATAAATTTTTTCAAATATAAGACATCTTTTATTCACACCATTTACATTAAAGCCTTTGAAAAGTATTCAATAATGGATAAATTTGTTATTTGTGAAAATAATGAAAAACAGGTGGCAACTACACAAAAGCGAAAAAAAAGGAGATTACCAGACAAAAATTAAATAAAAAAATACATGATTTTGATCCAAGTTGGTTATGAGTTTACTCTTGGCTTGAAAAAAGTGAAGATAGTAATGGAAAGGTGACTGTGTTTTGCAGCTGGTGTAAAAATGCAAAAAAGAAAATTTTTTTTACAATCATACCGAAAAATATAAACAAAATTTATCAATTGTTGTTTTATAATTTATTTTGTTATAAATTATATGTAAAATTACCCGTACTTAGTTTTCTAATAATGTGGTCAGCGTACTTTAATATGACAACAATGTGCTAGCACTGCACATAATATCAGTTCGGATTTTAGACACTGTCTACAAATACCGTAAATACAAATACTATTTATGAGAATTAAATAATGTGTCAATCTCTTCGCAGACGATAAAATGATTGAATTATTCAGTTGGGATATAATTATTGAATAATAAAAATTAGAAAAATGTTCGCTTTATATGGTTTTGTTGCATATGATGTACATGAAAAGATTTAATACATTGTGTTATCAATGGTTCCAACACAACCCCATAAAGTAACACTAATATGAAAGCTTTAAATTGAAAAGAAGATCTTCCTTTGAGATAAAAACGCAATATCATTTTGATGGTTCTTTTCGATATAAAGAATAACGCAGTTTCGCCTTACTTTCGTAATAAAGTTTGTGTTTATTATTGTTATTATTATCATCATCATAATAATAAACGGGTCAGGAGTATTATTTCAAAAACAAACAATGGCTAGATAAGAATGACGATTTCCTTTAATTTAATAAATAATTCCACAAAAAATCACACCTCAAAACAAATTAATTGACCAACAATAAATTATTATATTCTTGGCCAAGGTTATCTTCGAATGCTTCTTCGTCAATTGCTTGTACTTGTGACATATGGCCTTCATTTGACTCGACGATTGCACTTAAATCACCAATCACGCTAAAAACAATTGGCTCGCTTGCCGGTTGGACCGCATTGGATGTCAACGCTGTGCCTGTTACTGGCGGTGAAGAAGAAGAAGGAGAGGCTACTTGACGTTTATTCTTTAAATAATAGTAATTGTTATCATCGTTATTGTCTTGTGACCAATTTGATAACGTTAATCTGTTTTTTAGTAACAATAAATGGTTTAGATTTCTCGTGGTTGATGTGAAAATAGGATTTGAAAGAGAAATTTTTATATGAGCAAAGAAAGTTATCGTGAATAACAGAATTATGATTAGAAATGAAGAAGAATATTTTTTTAATAGCATCGTTTTTTTTTATTTTGTTTAATTTATTCTTTTCATTAATGAATGAAAAATTCCTTTCACAAAATATCTTTATTAAATTTTTTGCATTAAAATTTTTATCATCATTTGATGCAAATTTTTATTTTCGATATCATCATAATTGTGCATAATAATATAATTATTATTATTATTATAGTTATCATTATTATCTCGAATTTCAAATATCAAATAATAGTAGCACGAAAGATTAACTATTTATATAATTATAATATGCAAAGAGGATTTTTATTTTTATCATATTTCTCTAAATATTTACTTCATTATTAATATTATTCGAATTCTTTATCACACGTAATTATTAATCATCATTATCATGTTATGATTTTCAATATTGATATATTAATATTTAATATGAATATGTAATATATATTTGGAAACGTTAAACAACAAATTTATTACTTATCATCGAGATAAAGTTTCTTAAAAATTACATATTATTCTCTGCCTACGTTTAAAATAAAAAGGCGAATGGTACAAGTAAATTAAATAAGATCTTAACTATCTGTTTATATTATATTATTTTAAAGCGTGTAAATCTTCCTTTTAGGAACACAAGAATTATTAATACAACAATATATTAAAATAAGTAATCAAATACAAAAATAACCTCTTGGGTTCACAAGATTTTCAATTAAAAATGTATTTATATACAACAAAGGATTTCAAGTAGATAAAATTAATTTTGTCATAAAAAAAAAAAAAAAACAAATAAAATTTAATTTTTTGCTACCAAATTTTGGAAACAAGGGAATCACCTTCCCAATTCGAAGGTCTAGCTTTCTTTTTTTGCTTTTATTGTTTTGTTAACATTATTCCTCCTCGTTTTCACACATTGTTTTCACCAAATCAATAATTACAAAAACAGTTTCATAATTATTTTATCATTGTTATCGTGTAAATTACTAGCACCAATACCATTACATCCGAGTCATTTCATTATTTCCTCAAATACTGCTTTAATACTGCTTTTTTCTTTTTTCCATCACATTTTTACCGCTCAAAAAAATTTGATTTTTTTTTTTTATAAAAATAACCCGTTGACCGGTTTTTTTTTTCATACATACATAAACAATATATTGTTCATAAATTGTCCTTGTATAAACAATTACAAAAAGAGCTTGGAATTTTCTTCCACTCCCTTAAAACTTAAAAAAAAAGCGGCCATTCGAAAATACAAAATAAAAAAAAAATCAGATTTTTTTCACGAATAATTAAAATTATAAAATTAATTCCAACTATTATTACACCTTCTTTAAAATTAAAATATAAAAAAAAAAACAAAACAAAAAAAAATATTTAACATTTCGTTGTAAATATATATAAATAATTATTACATATTATAAATATATTATAAATCTATCAAAAAAAAAAAATGCCAATTCCCAAAATAATATCAAGACAAACAGCAAATCATAAACATAATGCAATCAACATAATTTCTCGCTCTCCAAATGTCTTACCAATAACTATTGATCCTGATGATTTTGCATCAAGTACAATGCGTGGAAAACATATTTTAGGTAAAAATTTATTTCTGAAAAAAGTTTTTTATCTTTATTTTTTTATTAAAAAAAAAATATGAATTAATAGAAATTTTTTTTTCATAGTTCTTGGTGCTACAGGAAGATTAGGAACTCAAGTAGTGAACCAAGCGCTTGAGGCATCATATCATGTTACAGCTTTGGTTCGTAATGATTCTAATTTACCGTTTGCGAGACATCAACTTCGTAATCCTAATCTGGTAATAATGGTAGGATCAGTTTTGTCAAGGAAAGATTTGGATAAGGTGATCGAAGGTCAAGATGTGGTGATCAATTGCATTGGGCCTAGACTTTTATTTCCATCATCCGATAATATGGAAATTTGTTCATGTTCACAAAAATTGATTATCGAAAGTATGATTGAACATAAAGTTCGTAGATTGATAGTTGTAACGTCTCAAAATGTTATTGGTCATGATGATAGTAATGATGATAACAACAATAATAATGAAATTTCATCATCAAGAATTCATATGATGCAAAAATTTTTTGGGAACCTTTTCTCTGGTAAAATGTTGAATGACAAGAAATTACAAGAAACAATCGTAATCAACAATTCCGATCATATTGATTGGACTATTATCAGGCCGGGTAAAATGTATAACGGTCAATTAACTAAACAGTATAAATTAAATGATAAAATGAATTTCACGAAAGTTAGTAGAGCAAATGTTGCTCATTTCGTAATGAAAGAGTTAAGGAATAGCGATTGGCTTAAGAAAACTCCTAATATAAATAGTTAACTCTTATATAGTTTCTCGATTCTTTTTTTTTGTAAATAACAAAAAAACAAATTTAAATTATTATTATTTATTTTAATTTATTTATTATTAATATTTAATTATTCTTATGTAAAAAACATTATAAATATTAATATATAAAAAAAAAAATAGTTGTGTACAATGATTCCTGAACTCCGGCTAGGGTATCCAGGATTATGCTTTTCTTTTTTGCAAATATTGGGGTATTCGATATAAGTTGATTAACAAATCTAATTAATGTCATAATGTAAATACATATACAGTGAACCCTTGTTTCAACGAAGTATAATTAAATTTTTGATACAACGAGTTTTTAAAAACGTTGTTACACATTATGAAAACATAAAATTTCGTTGAAACGCGATTAGTAACCTTGTTTCAACGAATGTTGAATAAAATTTTCTTATATGTCCAGCCACAAGGGCAGACTGTATGCGGATTTTTTTATGGTACCCCTTTTTTCTCTAAAAAAGGAAACAGTGTAACAAAATATATTTACAAGTCACAAAACCCTGTATGGCCCAGGTATCAAGGTATTATTTTTAGATTTGAATTTTTCCCCACACTTATTGTAAGAGACAACAAAAATCCCCTTACACCCCCTGCCAGAGGTACGCTACTAAACTAGATCATTGGTTAATTGAATTAATTGGTAAATTTTGAGTTAGTATCAGTAATAGGTATCGAATCAAAGAGTTCTTGAATTTCATTAACTGATTCTGGTTTATATGGTGGAAGAATCAGAGCTCTCACTTTATTAAAACCAGTTCCACTGTATGGCTTGCCAGTCAATCCAATAAATTTGTTTCCATACTTGTTGATCCTTAGGTCCTTCTCTTTTTTGTTTACTCTTGATAGCATAACCACACCAATTACCCACTATTGCATTAAACAATTTAACTGTAGCATTGAGATTAGGGGTTTCCTTAGCCCGAGACTTAAATCCAAAGAGTAATAATGCATCTTCTTGAATTTTGATGATTTGTTCCCATGATTGTTTGAAAGCTTTTGCCACATCATCACCAGAAAGAATATTTGTATCATCTATATCTCTAAAACCTATCAATTGGACAAGATTATGTACCACTTTCCACTGTTTTGCCAAATAAAATTTATGCAAATCAACTGAGGAAGGGTCCATAGAATCATGTGAATCTTCCCATTGGATTTATTCTTTGATTTTTAGATTTTCTATAGAATTTGTCACATTGGAACCTTGTATTTGGTAATAAGCAAGACCTCTAAAATGCTTTAAAGGTTCGGGATCATTGAATCTTTCTACAAAATCTATGTCACAAAGCTTAACCCAATCAGCATTATCCATACCCCATTCTCGAATGTCATCCTTGCCACCAATATTACCTGAAGCATATATTTTCCACAAATAATATCATTGTAAAGTCATATTATCAGTGAATGAGCATATAGGAATTTGCTTAAGTATTTCAGCTTCATTTTTATTATTCTACAGCCTTTCATGATTCCCCATAAACATTTTACTGATCTTATGCCTTTGAAGTATACGAAAAATTTATTGTCTGAACTCTGGGAATGTGGTACATGACCAGTCTACAATTGTGTTCTAGCTTTCTTGACATTCTTCTTCAAGTAAATAAGTGTGTACTTACCTCCAATAAAGTCTTTGACCATAACTTCCTTGTGAAAATTGGAAGGAAGTCCATTAATAATTTGACAGAATCTTTCTCAGAGATTAATGGTTGAGTAAAGGAAGAAATTCAAATTTGATAATCCCTCTGCATAATCAATCAGATAATCTGTATGTTGTACACATTTGATGGGGCTATGCAACAAAATTATTTTTAGATCCTTGATACACAGAAAGATAATTTCTCTTTTTTTTTAGTACAAAACATGACACAAACCAGGTCCAGTGGTAGTGAAAATTCAGAACATCTACAAGATCCAGACTTTCTCAGCAAATCTGCATCATTGTTCAATCCTTGAGATGCTCATTCATTGAGAGTGAGTTTCTGCTCAGCTACGCAAGCAAACAAGGTTATTCCTAGTAGAAATGGTATGTTGTATCAACATTCCTCTTAGCAAACTCAATACTTACAACTTAAATTCATATAGTCAACATTCCACAAGAATACATTCTCCCAGGTGTCAACCGTATTATGCTTGAAAGGCAAAACCTAAATATTGACCAATTATGTCAAAATGATTATGTTAAAACATTCATTTACAAATTGCACAAAGTTGTCAAGAATGCAGGACTTGATATAGGAACAAGCGAAGCTTCTACTGATACATTGGTAGCCAATTTAATATTTCGTGTTATTGACTTTGATAAATGGCCCTTGGTGGTTAAGTTAGTATTGGTGGAAATGTTTTTTGTTTATGATATACTTTAATAGTTTTTTAAAGATTGCATTACATTCAAACTTAGATTACATCCAACATTTAAATTTTCCGTTGGCAATGCAATTTTGTCAGCAAAAGCTGAATTTGTAATTAATTATCAAAACTATTCTTTATTGGTTGTTGAGGTCTGTATGTTCTTGATTATTTGACAAATCTGTATTTTTGCTAATTCAAACAATCTTTTTAATAGAATAAACATCTAAATAACATTAAGCCAACATATGACTATGGGGAACCCCAAATAATTGCTGAAATTCTTGCTTGTGGGGATGAAAATATATGTAAAGCTCATGGGGCTTGTGATATGACTATATTTGTAGTTCATGTGGTTTCCACTTATGTTACATTTTACTGTGCTACAATCAATAAAAGATATTGGAATGAACTTGCTATAGATTGCCCACAACAGCAATCAATCACAGTTTTAAGATGGCCAGGGAATAGTAGTGATCCAATTGTTGGTTTTGATCTTGCAGAACCAAATGGAAGAAGAGATGTGTTAGAAGCATTATCCAGGATTCGTCAATACATCTTAAGCTAGATGAAAATCTATTATAATAGTATAGTATGGTTAGCTGAGATTAGTAATAAAAAATAATTTTCTCTTAAGAACCTAATAAAGTTTTACCTGAAAAGGTTCATTTTTATATATGTTTCATTACATTATATGGTCATCAATGTTTGCATATGATCAAGAATTTTCTTGGCAAATTTCAGTCATGTGGTTTTTTTGTGATATAGCTTTGTTGAAGAAATTTTTCTTGACAAAGTGATCAGTGTGAATTTTTTTCATACACTCATGTAATTTTTATTAACTCAAACTTTTGAATATATCCACATCTTGTAATTGATGAATTATAAAACTAGCACTCAAAGAGGCACATAAAATTTATTAAATATATATATAAACATATACATAAAAATATATATACATTATTATCTTCTAATACTGGTGCTACCAGCATCTTTGTATTCCAATTTTAATTGTAACCCTCCTTTGTATGTTCTTCTGGTTGTCCCAGGGTTTCAATAACATTATTAAGCTTGATTTTAATGCCATTGATCTTTAAATATGAATCCTTTTTATTTTTTAGAATTGACCTATGATTATATAGAGTGGTGGAAATGAGATATATAGCCACTTTGTGACTGCAAAGCAAGAAAAACAAAAACTGCTTCCTTGTAAAACAATTAGAGAAATCATGCAACTTACAGCATAGTAGGTTCTCCTTGGCTTAGTGTTCCTTTGTCAAATCTTTCACCACCCCCATTATGAACAGTGAGATAAATGTTATCAAGCCCACTATGTAAAAAAGTATCATTGTTTTATCAGATTATATCCATGCATTCCATACATTAATAAGTCAATGGAAGAATTTATTTACCGAATTTAACTGAAAATTCTCTTTCCATTGTAATTGTAGACTTTTTTTCTATTAAAAAATATAAGGGTGAAATTCACCTCATAAATCCACCTTATTTATAGTTTCATTTGTTACCTGAGAACCTGCTATATAGAAGAAAAAACATTAGTATTTATGTTACCTGATCATTTGTCAGATCCTTTCTTTGTAAGGCAGGTCTATTAAAGTCACAAGCAGGGCTGGAAATAGTACTTTAAAAATCCGGATTTTCCTTTAAAAAGAGTTACCAGATATTTTTCCTTTTTTTTTCCAAAAAAATTTATATTAAAATAATGCATACATATAAGTGTCATTACTTCAATATTTTAGAAAAGAACCATAATTTGTATCTTTTGAATTTTCAGAAGAAAAGTATTGACTTAATTTAAATCTTATTTCACTGTTATTAAATTATTAAATTTAAAAATATATACATTTTAAATATGAATTTATGTTCCTTATTCAAAAAAATAAATTAAATTATAAATAAATAGTATAGAATAAGAATTAGATAATTTGACTACTAAATTTGGGATGAAGCATTTATAGATTGATGAATCAGATATAGAAGGTTCAGATGATTTGACAATTCAAGGCTCAGATAGTGATGATACTTCAAAAAAATCAATAAAAAACCCCATATTAAAATGTCAAATAAAAAGTGCATTTTAAAAATCAGGAAGAAGTTTTCATCATGAATGGCTAAACATATATAAATGGTTAAAATATGATGCAACAACGAAGAGAATGTTTTGCACAATTTGTAAAGCACATGGGAAAAAAAATCACTTTGCAAGAAATAATAATTACTTTAATTTTTATTTGTAGTGGCTCATTATCATCTTTTATATGCCAGGGGTTTCTAAATGTTTCTTCATCCTTTTAAAGAAAACCATATATATTATTTTCATAAGTAAAATAGTGGACAACAAGTAATTTAAATAATCAGTCCAAAGACTGTTCATAAATCATCTTATTTCTAGTAAAATTTGGTATACCTTTAATTTCATGAGGTCAATGTCAATTTTATTGATTCTTGTATGATTCTTTGGGAAACAATCAATCCCTGTAACTACATAAAAATATGAATAAATAAATATTAGATACTCTCTCTAATCATGATATAATATTAAAAAATTTAATTTATTATTTGATATCAGATTTGTTACAATTTAGCTGCACTTGACATAAGTGGTTCACCTCCTGTAACCAAGTTAAGATAACCAAGTTGAGATACTGAACATGTTAATTATCATGTTATGGACCATATGCATTCAAACATGTCAGGCATCTCTGCTACAGCAGTCATCTCCCGTAACAAAGTCAAAATACTAAACATGTTAGATATTAATATTTCAGTTGCAGTAGCACTTTCTGTAACCAGGTTGAGATACTGAACATGTTAGACACAGTTAGCATCTGTGTACAAATGGTTTACCATAACAAATTGACATGCTAGACATCTCGGTTTACAGTTGGTTAGCACTTATGGGTTTGTAAAACGGACCGAACGTGCTTGGTATTTATATCTAATCATTTCTCACCTTAAATTAATGTTAAAAAAAAAAAAAGGTAAAACTTACTTGTGCATCATGTTGTAGTTTTAAATAACTGTTGACATTCAATTTGTTTTTTTTAAGTTAGTATCCGAGACACCTTGAGTATACTTTCCTTGTAAGCTTTTCACTATAAGTAGTCTTATTTTTTTCATTATGTATTTGACAAATGAGAGTAGAGAGAAATCTCTGTTGCTTTCAAAATACTTCAATGCCATATGAAATACTTTTCTTTGTTTTCTATCCAGATCATCATTCAGATTTTCTAAATCGTGATCATTAGTAGTCTCTTTTGTGTTATTGTGAAGCTTCTTAGTTTTTAATACCATTTTTACTTGATAAATGGATTTTTTACACGCACTAAAAAAAAAAAAATATACACGCGCGTTTGTGTAATATCATTCACAGGATATGTCACGCAGGAGTTGATCTGCATCATAGTAAAATTCGAATTTACATAGTAAAATTTTACAATCAAGTGACTTCTAATCCCCATTTAATACTTTTGCTGTGTAGCAACCACCGCCAAATTTGAGATATAACTTCTTTATCATATGTATCTGCTTTAAGAAAAATTTTTAAAGCAGGTTGTTAATAAAACCGAAAATAATCTGGCCTCAAAGTCAAATTTTGCCTTTATATTCATATATGTAAAATTTTGTTTGACGCGTCCAATTGCAGGTATAAGTAGAAGCAAATGTCCAAATATTACATTATTATTGAATATTTATAGATTTTTGATCACTTAGGTATTCCTTTTATAGTAAAATCATTTATTTTAAAAGTAATATAATAAATAAATAGACATTAAAGTTTTTCTTTACCTACAGTATATACATAAATAATAATTATAATATTAAACAAGCAACAATAATGATTAAATTAAAAGGTGTTTTATCTCTGACTTTATTCACTTAATTATTTGTCATAGCGATGTTATTAAATATAAGTTAAAATAAAAGAAATTTATATACATAAATAAATAATAAATATAACTATTGAATAATTGATAAAACGTTTATTTTTGTAAAACTTGCTTTTGCAAGCTTCATTGATCTTGTCCTTAACGCTTATTTCAATCACTCTTATACAAACTATTAAATAATTGATGAAACGTTCGTTAGAACATTTTGTTCATAGATCTTGTCCTTAAAGCTTACTTTGATTGCTCCTACACAAAATATTAAATAATTAATAACATGTTATTATATTTTGTTCATTCATTGATCTTGTCCTTAAAACTTACTTCAATCACTCCTACACAAACTATTGAATAATTAATAAAACATTCGTTATTATATTTTGTTCATAGATCTTGTCCTTAATGCTTACTTCGATCACTCCTACACAAACTATTGAATAATTGATAAAACGTTTGTTAGTATAAATCTTGTCCTTAACATTTACTTTGAACTCATACACAAACTGGATCTTAATCTTTATTATCATCCTCAAAAAACGATGATTCATTATCATCATTTGCCATTTATTGCTACTAATATTATTGTTTAATGTTGCTATAACAACTACTGATTGATGATATTCATAATAATTATTAATGAAACTTTAATCAATATAAAACAATCACTAATAAAATACCTTTTAGTTTTTGCTGAATCCCATCTACATAAATTCTTCATGACTATTAAATTTCTATAAAATAGTTTTTCGTGAACCTCTCTAAAACTTATTAACCAATAATCCCCATAATTTAATGACCATATGAAAGCTTAAAGCATTTCTACACCTTCTCATTTACTATCAAGTCTTTTAAAGCAATATTCTGAGCTTTGAAGTGAAAAAGTAATACCGTTTTTGAATAGCCGTGAATTCATCTAGAGAAGACCTTTCTATATGAAAGAGTATTAATTAGAAAGCTTTAGTGGGGTACTTTCATTTTACTCTAACAACGAAGTTCGAGTTTATTATAAAAATAACGAGATATTTTAAAAAAACTTCATGTGACACGAATTTCGCAATTTATTTTCACATCAATTGCGAATTCTTAATATTAATGTATTAGTATCCAATTAAACCGTTTAATATTCGTTTAATAATTCTTTATTCCTTGTTTTTCATTTTATTGTTTGTATTATTTTTATTATTTTTTTATTATTAATAAATTATAAATAGGACCAGGAAAACTCTATTGAATGTGACCGCCAACACTATGATTCGAAAGTATTTTTTTAAAAAAAATGTGACCGCCTCACCATAGATTCGCAGATAGAAAATGGAAAATGTCACCGCTTTTATATTATTCGAAGAAAAAAATGTTATCGGTTACACTGATTCGTAGACATAAAAAAATAAAAAAAGTCATCGGTTACACTTGATTCGCATTATTAATAAAAAATGTTATTATTATTAATTGCATGTAACGCTTGCAATTGAATCTATTAAGAAACAATTTTTTCGCCAAATATGGTGAAAACGTTGATCGCCAAAAGCCGAAAAAACCAAGCGCAAAAGGCGAGAAACCTGTACGAAGGTCGCTCGTCTTACTGATTTTGGAGGGTGGTCGTGACACGGAAAGCTTTTCTTTCTTTTATATATGTTAAAAAAAATAAAATAATACCGATGAAAAATTTAAAAAAACACCAATAATAAAATTAAAAAATTTAAAATGAAAAATCATAATAAAAATAATAAAAAAAAATCCTTGTGATTCACGCCAAAAACGTTTTACTACATACCCTAACTTTCAAGAATTTGTCAATGCTAAAAAAGTTATTTGTAAATGTGGTCAAATTATTTCACTTGGAGTCAATCATCAAGTGTTTGGGCAAAATCATTATGTTTTATGAAAAATGTGGGCAAGGACATTCATGGGTAGAAAAGCCTGCAGGATTTTTAGATCATTTATCATATATTTCTATTAAGGCCTATCTCCCTGTATCACGATAGTATTTTTCATGTGAAAATTTGGCAGGAGGAGGAGACATTACAATTCATATTACACCACGAGAAGTAGTTTATTTTTTGGGAATACGTTCTTATTCTAATATTTATCCTTGTTTGATTGCAGTAGATGATAAAAAATTTTCAATTTATAATCATTTTAGTCAATCAAGTACACAAAACTTTCTTTTAAATATTTTTAATCAATAAAGATAATTTCATATGTCCTCGGCTATTTTGATTCGCATTATTAATAATAATAATTTTAAAATGTGTGTTTGGAAAATCGATTCGCATAATTATAAAAACTAAGATTCGCAATAATACGATTTGTTATTTAATTTGTCGGTCACATACAATAGTAATAGAGTTTTCCTGGTCCTTTATAAATATATTCGAATATCATGTTGATCCTTTTATGATACTAATACAAAACACTAAATATATTAATCCATTTTTATTTTATTTGTGGCTGAGAAAAAATTTTTTTTTTTGACAAATATAATAAAAATCCACAAATAATTTTTAAAGATGAAAAACGCTTTGGATGAAAATAAACGTCACGAAGAAGATGAATATAAAAGATATAAATTTTATGGAACATGTCCAACATGCAATAGATATAATACTAAATATTCATGGTGTCAATCATGTGATTCACGTCTATTAACTAAAGAATGGACTAGTGGCGATGAACAATTAGATGAATTGATTAAAAGTACACAACTTCAATGGGTTCCTTATACTGATTTAACAAATATTGAAAAGATAGATGGTATTGCAACTATATCCAAAGCTATTTGGTTAAAAAAGGATTATTATTTTAAAAGAACTTTTCCTGTGGCATTAAAAAAACTACAAAATTTACAAAATATTTCTGATGAATTTCTTAATAAGGTAAATTATTTTATTTTTCTATTATTTTCAGATTTTTTAAATATTATTCTGAAATTCAATATATTTTTTTTAGTTCAGACATTATGTTAGATTTTATGGTAAATCATTTATAAATGAAATTTATGGATTTACACAAGATCCAGCTACAAAAGAATATATCTTTGTAATGGTATACGTGAAAAATAGAAGTCTTCAAGATTATGAAGATCAATTTCTCGAGAAAAGAAGAGAATATTATGGGGAATGTCCAATCTGCATTAGATATAATACTGATTATTCATGGTGTCAATCATGTGATCCAAAGCTATTAACTGAAGGATGGACTAGTGGCAATGAAACATTAGATGAATT